GTGTATATATATATATATATATATATATATATATATATATATTGTCTGTTATGATGTTTTCAGATTCCAAGTTATGGTTGTTGTGCAGTTTTGTAAATGGCTATTGTGAGTTTCTCCTATCAGAGTATTTCACTGTTGAGCTTTTTCTTGGACAGCATATCAGACCAAGATGAAAATGTACAGTGTGACAGCATATCAGACCAAGATGAAGATGAGCAGTGTGACAACATATCAGACCAAGATGAAGATGTGCAGTGTTTTCCATGAATACACTTTTTCTTTGTTCATTCATTAGCAGGTTTCCTTTGTGTTTCTTTTCAAACCTCCAACATAGATGTAATTTTGTCATCCATTCTTAAAGGACTTATGTTTTATTTCCCAATCTTGTATGTCTTTTAACAAGAATGTGTGTGTGTGTGCATATTGAATTGTTTTCAGAAAGTTTATTTTTACCTCCATCATGATTGCTTCCTTCGTAAGATGCAGATTGCTTGGGAGGGACAGACTTTTCTCTCATTATCTTCCTAGTATTGACCTTTATCAGAACACTCATAATCAGAATCATGTGGTTTGCCTTGTGTGTGTGTTGTTTGGTCTATGTAACTCATACTTCTTCTTACAAGGATGTCATGTTCATTTATTTCTTCCACCTCATCCACCTATTGCACACCTTCAGAAACAATTTTATATAGTTGGCAGAATTGTAATTCTTGGGTATAGCAACAGCCTGCTTTCTTTACTGTGTCCCATCACCAGGTTGCTGTTGCCAGGATGTATCTTTATACTGTGTTCCATCACCAGGTTGCTGTTGCCAGGATGTATTTTTATACTGTGCCCCATCACCAGGTTGCTGTTGCCAGGATTTATCTTTATACTGTGCCCCATCACTGGGTTGCTCTTGCCAGGATGTATCTTTATATACTGTGTCCCATCACTAGGTTCCTGTTGCCAAGATGTATCTTTATATACTGTGCCCCATCATGGGGTTCCTGTTGCCTGGATGTATCTTTATACTGTGTCCCATCACTAGGTTCCTGTTGCCAAGATGTATCTTTATATACTGTGCCCCATCACTGGGTTCCTGTTGCCAGGATATATCTTTATACCCATCTTGGGTTTTGATTGGAAAAATAAAATTAATTTTTCACTTTCCTCACATAATGTTACCATGCCTTTAACTTCATTGTTTTAGTTTTGTGAGGGGTTTCTTACTGTTCAGTGTTAGAGTTAGGTCATCCATGTCATAAATACATTTTGTCATATTTCCTTGTTCTTCTTTACCTCAGGTGTATAGGGGAATTTTCCTATTGAGCAATTCCTCTTTCTTTTATATTAACATCTTTTCTTATTGTATGATAGCAGGTCATGTTATCTGACTCACCCTGGTGTCAGCCTTGAGGGAGATGATGTACATTTTTTGTTTCTGTCATTCAATAGGTGTGTATGACACCTTCCACACCACTCTCACCCTATTTCACATGATACAGACTTGTATAAATTTTGTTATTCACTATGGTACGTTAGCATTTTGGCAGTCAATGTACTATGTGGAGGTAGTGGTTTTGTGGCTTCTGTATATGTATTATTTATTTAAAATATTCTGTATTAGCAGAAATTTGTATTATTATCATTATTATTATTTTTGTCTTGCTCTTGTGTCTATTTAACAAAAAGTATCATTTTAAAAAAGTTCAGTTTTTAATTTGGTCAAGCTTATCATTATCACTGGACAGTTATAGAAAACTATATCCCAGATTATCTGGGGTGCTTATGCAAATTGATAATAACATGTACAGATCATAAACTGTTGGCAATAAAAGTATTTTGTGGATTATGTACATTAAAAATAATAACAAAATAATAATACACCGTGGTGAGCTTCTATGTCATAAATAATTACATTATCCTCTTAAGCATTCCATCACTGTCTGTGGTATAAATATACATCTGTTATGTTTAAGGTTGAATTTGAAGGAGCCAAACATGAGGTTCGACGATTGCAAGAAGAAGTGGAATCATTAAATGCTCAGGTTGAAGAAATGACCTCACTAAAACGAATAGCAGAAAAACAGCTGGAAGAAGCTTTAGAGGCACTGCAGTCTGAGAGAGAACAGAAATATGCATTGAAAAAAGAATTAGATAACCGAGTAAACTCTGAATCTATTTTCAACTTAAACAACTTGACTCTATCCAATTTTAGATTTGGAAGTAAGTTTTTTTTCTTAGTCACCACATATTTATTTATATTAACTTAAATTAGTAGTTTTACTGACACCAGGAATTAAAATCACTAGTATTAAAGATTTATATGACTTTTCGAAGCCAAAAGAATAGAAGGACAAAGGACCATAGAATATTTTCCTGAATCCTAGAAATTGTTTAAGAATATTCTGGTCTATTACTCTTGTATTTTCATCTCGGTTATGCTTTAACCCTGTTGCCCTGGGTACCCTTTACTGTGCATGACACAAGGTTATAGTGTCTTACATTTAAAATTTTATGAAACTACTTTTTGTTTATGTTATACCAATTAGAATACTGTAAAATCTTAGATAATGATCCATATTTTAATAGTATACAAGTTTTAAATTCTTCATTCTACAAGGAAATATATAAAAAATTCTGAATTTCCACTAGTATGACCCACGTGACACATTTTCTCTTAGCGTGTCATCATCCCTATTTTATCCACCACCCCTTGAAAATGTACGAAATTAAATGTAAAATACTCCCTATAAAATCGTTATTGCTCAAACAAACCCTAATTTTTACAGTCTTCAATTTTGTTTGGTTACAGAGCTATCAAATAGAAAATCAGACCCCTCCTGCCACACCCACCTGTCACATCATCTCTTTCACAATTCTTGATAGTTCTCTCTTACGTTTCATTATGTATTACCTATAACCAATAGAAAGTCAAGGTTTTTATCTGTCAAATGACATATTGTATAAAGTGTTCTGAGCAGATAATCATCAATTTCACTCAGAGTAGCAACATCGTTCCCCTGGGAAAGTTAACAACTAGCTTGGATGAATTTGTAACGGCTCTTATCACATAGATAGAAAGTCAGAAAAATTTTGAGAGGTAAGTG